TTCAATGTATGAGGTGATACAAAAACAATGATAGCACCCGAAAAAAACCCAACAACATTCAAATGGACGCAATTTTGAAGGGCACACCTAGTAAATATGCAGTGCTATATGCATATACTTATTGCTATTTCTTTATAGAAAGTAATATGTCATCCTATAAAGAGTAATACTCTACATAGAATTAATACGAACTGGTGTACAATATTATTTTGTGTTCACAAAAATAGACTCCTGTCATGTTTCTAAGAAAAAAACATTAACAGAAAATTCCCCAAAATCTCACCACTAATTGATTAATTTTGAAGGCTAACAATATAAACAGAAAGAACACATGTCATACAATATAATTTACACGGAAAGTTTTATTTGTTGTTGATGCATATTTACCCATAGTAGGTTCAAGATTATTATAGTTGAGGTAGCAGGTTTTAGATCTCCAATTACATGTAGGCATTATACTAAATACCACAAAAATCTTCAGTTCGTTGATTAATTTTTTCCACTTTAATTGCAGAAATATTTTTACCTTAAACCACAATCCTACATCGCACAAAGCTAGAAAGTAAAAAGTGGATATATTTTTCATAATACAAATTTCTAATTTATTCGATGAAGCTTATTATTTTAGCATTATTTCTAATCAGATATAATTAGTCTACTTTAAAATTTAGGCGTACAGCCTTTTATGATTATTTTTAAGGAAAACTGGTTTGTATATTGTAATATTACTTCCTAATTTTTCTATAATGCATTTAAAAATGTTATAACAATATATCATCTGTTTGAAGGTCTTTATCTTCTCTAAAAGATTGCTGTCGAAACATACATTTATTCGGGTAACTAAACACAAAAACAACGTGCTTTTAAGAAAATTCTATTTTCATCTTTTTCTTCATATTCCAACATAACCACGGAAGAAAAATATCTATTTCTATTTTAGCACTGTTAATGAGTTTTAATGGTAATCGGTTTTGTAAAATAAATGCACGTGGCTTACTTATAGAAGAAAACAACATATAGGCAGTTGTTATTGTTAATCATTCGAATAATTTGATATCTTAGTCACCACTGATCAACTTTAAAATAACAGTTACGGAAAATAGGGTATTTAAGGGATTATATATATAGACAAAAGAAGATATTGAAAACATAATTAAATAACAATTATGTATTAGATACACCTCGATGGCGTATCTAATTTACACAAAGATATTATTGTCAATGCAGAAGACAGTTTTCAATAATTTAGGAGGGGGATCTTTTAGCGATTTGATTAAATGTTATTGAAAAGCACGATAAATGCAGGGTATCCAATTTCATTTCACGACATCTTGGTATAAAAGAGTTTATAAAACGGAACATATATAAAAAGTAAAATCACAAAAATACTGAACTCCGAGGAAAATTCAAAAAGTAAAGTCCCCAATCAAATGGCAAAATCAAAAAAAAAAAAAAACACACATCAAACGAATGGATAACAACTGTCATATTCCTGACTTGGTACAAGCATTTTCCTATGTAGAAAATGATGGATTGAACCTGGTTTTATAACTAGCTAAACCTCTCACTTGTATGACAGTCGCATCAAATTCCATTATATTGACAACGATGCGTGAACAAAACAAACAGACACAATAGGTAAAAATGTCAAAAATAGGGGTACAGCAGTCAACATTGTTTAATCATCTTAATCACTATAAAAAACAAACAAATGTAACGAAGAAGCACAAAAAGGCATACATCAAATTTAAAATCCTCATTTTGCTTATATTATACGATTTTATTTATCTATGTAAAATCCACCCATAAAGGATGGAAGAATTTAAGTACTGGCGTAAAATCGCGCGTTTAAAATTCGCACAGATAGACATAAAATACTTTTGTCGTTCAAAGTATGAGTGGGTACATAAATACAGAGTCACGTAAAATGGATATAACAAAAAACAGACTCAACAGTAAAAGTAATATTAATAAATAAAATAAAATAATTGTGTGGTACAAAGTATGACGATATACATAAGTGCAGAATCTCGTCAAATGTATATCACAAAAAAACAGACTCAACAAGTAATATTAATAAATAAAATAATTTTGTCGTTCAAAGTATGACGGGATACATAAGCACAGAGTCACGTCAAATGGATATCTAAACAAAACAGACTTAACAGTAAAAGTAATATTAATAAAGATAAATAAAAGAATACTATAACACGTTATTAAGATGATAAGCAACGTCAGTACGCAAAATCTATACTTCAAGACCATCGTGTATCATTTGTGAAGTTGATACGGTTTATTTATCAACAAGTTCTTGGTACCTTCCGATGAACTCTTTTAGAAAAAGGACGAGACGTTCTTTGACATACCCCTGGTTCATCAACTTTCTGCTCAGACACTGGTGACGTTTTACAAAGTCTGAGTAGGAGCTGCAAGCTCTTGAATACCGAATAAGTTGGGAAATGTATATCCCATATGCAGGTGAAGTTGGTATATTGCTACTAAGGTGGGGGAAATTGATAATTTCAAAATTAAAATCGTCTCGTTTGTCATAGATTCTGGTACTGAGATGACTGTGTATGTCAAATTCGAGGTATAAGTCTGAAAATGAGGCGGAGGAAGCCATGTGTGTTGTTTCTTTAATTTCTAGTTCTGGTGGATATATTAATGGAACCCAGTCAGAAAAGTTCGGATTGTTAATGGAAAGAACATCATCAATATATCTGAAAGTGAAATTAAATAACCTGGCTTCTTTGAAAACACATACACAATATATGAAAATTCTTATTATAATCATAGTTAGGGGCTAAAATAATACACGGTAATAGATTTCATGAAACAAAACAAACAGACACAATAGGTAAAAATGTCAAAAATAGGGGTACAGCAGTCAACATTGTTTAATCATCTGGTACTGAGATGACTGTGTATGTCAAACTCGAGGTATAACTGATGAGGAAAACAGCTTAATTAATCAACCAACAAGAGGAATAATGCCATCCATATTAAAAAAGTTTGTGATGGCTATGTTGCCTTCGTCTGTATTTGAGTATATTTAAGTACCAATATTTCTATCTTGTACTAATGTAGTTCTGTATTCAAACGGACTATATATAGACTGTTATTATCAGATTTGTTTAGTTGAAGCTCTTTTTGAGAAATGCATTTAGTCTATTTAATAATATTTTGTTAATAATAATTTTGAAGGCACACCTAGTAAATATGCACATGTTTCTAAGAAAACAAATTTACAGAAAATTCCTAAAAAAGCCACCACTAATAGGCTAATTTTAAAAGCTAAAAATCAGAATAATAAGTAAACATGTCATAAAATATAATCGACACGGATATTTGAGGTATCAGATTTCAGATCTCAATTACATTTAAGTATTATAATAACAACCACAAAAATCTTCAATCTATTGGTAAATCGTTTCCAATTAAACATTTTGAATTACAGAAATATTGTCATCTTAAACCACAAACCTATATGACACAGAGTTAGAAAGTGTAAAGTATATAATACAAATTTCTAATTTATTCGATTAAGTTAATTGTCATACCATTATTTCTGAAAGTCCTGGTAATTTTAGTGATAACTAAAACAAAGAAGAAGAATAGATTATATATAATTAACATACTTTAAAGATGTTCGCTCCTCCGTTTAAAAATAGCAATCTTTCTAAAAGACAGTTTTAAATTGATAGTATATAAATAACGGAACTTAAAAAGCAGAGAAAAAATAAAAAAATAACGGAACTTAAAAAGCAGAGAAAAAATAAAATGTCCATGTCCTTGTTTTTGAGATATAATCAATTGAAAATATTGCGGGAAATGCTTCGCTCTAGATTTTTCATACATCTAACATTGGCACCTTTTTTCTTTCTAAAAATATGAAAAAATAACAGGATTTTCATAAGAGTTTCAAAAATGGAATTTAAAACTATATGTTTTAAAATTATGAAAAGAAAAGTAGAAGTTAGCGTGCACAATTATCATTGGCACAACATGGAAAATCATTGCGCGAAAGCGCTGTGAAGGCAGTTAATTACAGGTTGTGTGTATTTTTAGTCCAGTTATATCATTATCTTGCATAGTACAGTGTACTTATCAGAGGTGGCTTTCAGTATTTAAGATTTAGAGTTCTCTAATGATATTGAACAAGTTTTATGAATGTCATATTCTGAGCATTATATTAAGGTGATTGTTCTCACTTGTTTATTAACTAGTGCATTATGTCCAGTTAGTACCTTGTTTATCTATGTTGATAGTCAAATACTGTTTAATATAGTTGGGCATTTTCTTTTTAGTAATAAATACCAGTTATCAACTGTATTTTATTCAACTTTGCAAATGTGGTTTGTTAATACTAGTAAGCATGGATGATAGTTGTTTCATTGGCAATCATACCACGTCTCCTTATTTGTATAATGATCTATATTCAACGACCTCAGGTACAAAAAAAAAAATGTATGTAACTAAACTATGATGGGAAACCTTTGACTTCTTTCTTTTATATAAACTTTTGATTCGGTACCATAGAACTATGTAGAATAATCCTGTTGAACTTATCGTGCACAGATGACTTTGTCTATCTATCATTTTATACATGTATGATGGTACCTGCTATCCTTGGATTCAACAGCTTTAAGAATATGGCGAACACATGTTTATATGCCATGTATATGCAACACAGCTCATGGTAAAGTATGCCAACAAGAATGTTGGTATTAAATCTCAGTGAACTTTGATGTTTATGAGCAATTTGTATGACTATTTGATATAATTAACTCGCACATAGTATATGTGTGTATCTGTGGAGTTACATATTTGATATACCGAGCATATATTTTACATGGATGATGATAATAGATATTGTGGCATTATTATAAAATACACTTTATATGGATCTGTTATATTATTTTTTTTTTTTGTAAACTATGGTAACATACAGTCAATCTCAAGATATCTATTTAAATCTTAAAAGCAATGTAAATTTAACAATGGGGTACACATTGTCTTCCTATACTTCAGAAAATAAATTTGAACCTTGGTGATTATCACCGTATATATATGATTTTTCTGTACCTCGCTTAAGACATAGAAGAACTTTTCCTTATTAATATAAATAGATTATTCTTTATTATTGAATGTTTAAGCTTAGTCAATGACTTCCGTCCTAGGAAAAGTAGTTCATAATGATTGCTTAGTTACTGTATTGTGTGTATTGCAGCACATCAAGTAACATAATGTACATTGCAACATGTCAGCTCTTTCCATGACAATACTTTTTCTAGAACTATTACTCCAAGCAAAATTATTTCCAAGTATAGAGTAATTCCAAGTATAAATCCAAGAAACTTTTTCCAAGATAGATCAATAACTAGTGTTAGTTATTTTCAATACACCTTATCGCTATTTGTCCGCCATTACTGGACATTACTAAAGTTCCCGTAAAATTTTGACGTCATAATAGAAAATATCTGACACCACAATGGAAAAGTGATTGTTGTATGACGTCAAAAGTCCAAGCGGGACAGATTCTCGGGTCAAGCGGGACAGATTTCCAAATAGCGATAAGATGTATTGTCACCTATGAGGATACCTGGTCCAATCATATGTTATATGTTTACTTTAGAAAGACAGGAAGTTTTAAAACAGGAACATTTTAAATGTTTTTGATTATCTATCTCCATCTTGTTCTGTCTGTTTACAAACTCTCCAGCCTGGTGCATGTGTAGTGTAACGTTCTGTTATGCGTCACGATTTTTGCATAATGTCAAAGTTTTGAAAATGCTATTTTAGTTGTTTTCCCCTTAAATTATGTTTACGAAAATTGTACCAATCGAAAGAGCATCATTTGCAGATTAATTTCATCTGTTTTTTATTCAACATTTGAACATAAACACCTACGACTGTCCCTTTGGTATCTTTCGTCCCTCCTCTACCTTATGAATGTTTAAACTCGGCGACGTTTCCGAAATTTACACGCGGTTTGAAAGATGGACAGCGTTATTTTGGAGCGATCTCGAGTTCTGACTAAAAGAGGGACGAAAGATACCAGGGGCCGGTTGTTCAACTTGTCGTTAACTTAACGGTAGCGTTAGCCTTAACGTGTCGTTAAAAAGTTTAACGTGGCGTTACTTAACGGAAGGTTAAAAAGCTGTTGTTCAAGTTGATTTAACGGTAGCGTTAGCTAACGTGACCGTTAACATATCTTAACCTGTCGTTAAACTTTAACTATGGTTTAGAGGCTATTTAAGTTACCCATTATTCAGATTTTCTGAACTTCCTCCATAAACAAATATGGCCGCCTTACCTTCTGTTAATCCATGTAATCAGTGTAATGTAAAAAAAAACAAGGGAAAGAAAGCCTAATTTCTCAGAGGCTGAGATCAGTGTCCTTCAAGATGAATTCGAGAAGAATTTCGCAGTCATTAATGACAAATTCAGTAGCGCAGTCAGCAATAAAAGGAAAACAGCAGTCTGGGCAAAGATTTCCCTGATAGTGTCTTCTCTTGGTGTTGCCCATAGGTCAGCCAAGGAGTGTAAAGACAAGTGGGGCAACACCAAGAAAGAGGCAAAGAAGATTTTCTCAGTGAAGAAGAGAGACCATGTAAAAACTGGTGGTGGACCTCAGGCTAAACCATTGAGTGTGGCAATAAATAGAACAATAGACCTGTGTGAGGACTCTGCTTCCTTCAAGGGCATAGGAGGTGTAGAAAGCTGCATTATTGGTATGTAATATTTTCTCTTATCAATTTAAAGTTTCTGTACACCTTTGGAAACTTCTATGAAGTTGTGCTATCAAATGTACCCTAGTTGAAGGAATAACATCGATGTAGAAACAAAAATTTATGTACGCCGGTATCACTATGCACCCAAATTATCGTTTAGAAACTGTTGAAATAAACTTTTTCCTTGTTCATGTGCTAAATTGTCACGCAAATACTTTCTATACAAGTATATTTTCATAGTTATTCATATTTTTGAAAGGTATTTAACCAATATTTATTTCTAAAATGATCAAATCGTCTGCATCGCATTCGATGTTTTTGCACTTAAATGTACTAAATATTGACCTTGCCCTCACAATCAGTGACAATGTAAACATTACAAATTCCGCATGTTAGGAAATATAATTATACCTTCTTGAAATGTTATTCAATCGTATTTGCGTTTACCCTGTCAATATGCGAATAAAGAAAAGGTTTTAACCCTATCATTTCTGATGAATCTACATCACTGTTCCATGCTGATATGCGAGAATTAAGAACAGGTGCTCTCCTCAATTTGTTGTTGGCGCCCTATTAAATTAAGTAATCTCGGCCCGATTGAAGATCGTACCATACAAATATTCGTCCCTATATCCTGTCTTGCTAGAATTTTACAACTTTCAAAAAAACATCATAATAACTTTGTCCTAATTAACACTTTCTTACAAGATGTTTTTAAGGGAATCAACATGAAGGTTTACCTCTATGTATAATGAGGGTTATCAAAAGTTTTTAAAAAAAATTTGCAGCATATACAACCCGTGACATGGCGAAACAATAACTCAACTATATTTCACTTTATATGTGTTGTCCCCTCATATAACTACTGTTCAAACCAATTGATAAAATATTGAATATAACAAATAAATAGAAAAAGTAGTTCAAATACATTGACATTTCCGACAAAAAAAAAGGGGGGGATCTACTCCATAACGTGTCTGTGATCTAAATCTTAAAATGTTTATACCCCTATCGTATTTTTAAAACTAAACCTTTTGCGTATTAATTGGCTTACAACATTAAATTTAAGAGCTATTTTGTCTTTGTTTCAGCTGGTGCAACTGAAGCTACATTGCCAGAAGATTCCGAAATGGCATGTACAGGATCCCAGGATTTGTTTGAGTCAGCTCCTGAATGTCAATCTGCCTCCTCACTGCAACCTCCTACACCTCCTTCACCTCAGTCGCCATCAGTAATTGCAGGGTTTATTGGTTACCGGGGAGTACCAATTGTAGTAAACCCGACTAGACCTGTGTTCTATGAATCCCATGCTGTCCCTATAGCTACTGCAGCCGCAAAGAAGAGAAAAGCAACAGCAGAGGATGTGTATGAGCTTCAGGTGAATATATAACAGTTAATTATGTCCGGTAGTATAATGTGTCCCCCATACTTTGTTGGCAATACAGCTATTTTTTTAATATATGTACTAGTAGTAATATTGAAAATTGATTGTTTAATTATTTTTTCCTTAACATCCAGGGACAAATGTTTCATGCATATTCAGGACGATTTTCCGATTTATATACTGTCTACACATATACAATTAAGTGTACTCCCACACTGGGAGTGAAGACTTACATTCACCCTGTTTGTCCGCTCCTCCCAATAAATGTGTTTGTCACATTTTTATGAAAAACTACTAAACAGAACAAATTCATATTTGGTCAGCAGCTTGACAATGATGAGTTATAACATGTGAGCACTTTCAGATTAGTCAGACTTGCTGGATGTTGACACATGAATGCTGAGTATCCTTTTTAGTAACTCTTTTTAACTGACACAGACAAAGTAATATTCTCTTAAACGGCGTCCAAGCAAACATTCAAAAAGTCAATTACCTTAATTGCAAAATATGACCTTCCTTTACATATTGTTGAAGTATTTTTCCCTTCCCTCTTAATGAAGTTTTGTAATATTTTGTCATTGGGTTACTGTCTTCTTGGTGTAGTATATCCCACATCTATTTATATCATATCATTTTTTTATGCTGATCGATTTTCTTGAAATGCATTGTATTCATTCAGCTGAACAGGAGTTTGTAATCTTTTTACAAATTAGTCATGTACAATTGTTGATTAATTCATATGTTTAACATTTCTGTTTTGTTCAACAGGTTGTGTATTTTAGGGCTGAGATCAAAAAGCAGAAGAAAGAAATGAAAAAGCTTGATTTACAAATAGAACTGCTAGAAAGAGTCAAGTCAAAGGAGTACCAGCCAATGTCTTTATCGCAATGTCTTGAGGTACTTGGATCTACCAACTAATATGAACTTGTTATCTTCTGATGTGTAATTGATTTAATGTTATTTTCAAAAGAAAAAAAAAATAATTATATATTTTACATAATTATATATTTGAATGAATTAAAGGAGGTCTTAACTTTTAACCTCAATGATCTACATGTAACAGTTATCAATACAACTTCCCGAAATTATTGAACAACACAGAATAGAATCAAGCACCTGATTTTATATCATGTTGAACTTTGTAGGGAAGATGGTTGCCAATTTTTTTTTCTTAGAGGAGTTTGTTATGGTTGTGGATGTGGATTGTGTTCATGTCCACCATGTTAATATCGAACATCAACGTTATTTGTACTCTGGTGAATAGTTGTCTCACTGGCAAGCATCCCACGTCTCCTTATTTTGAAGGTCATCAAAATATAATTGTTTCCATTAGGACTTGGTGAAATAAAACAAGTCTTTTATTAGTTAGGATCATGTGTCTATGAAAAAGTAAGAAAGCATATTAAAGTGTCAATAATATGTATTTCAGTTGCTAAAAAATACTCTTGCAACGTGTTCTCTCTTTCTTCCATATTGCACTCCTTGAAAGGCTAGAATTGCACGGGCTGATCAAGTCGAACACCAGCACCATCGTCATTCACCAACGGTTCATTTCTGGACAAGGCGATGTTATGCAACACTGCACATGCACCAAAAATTCCGCAGACTTTTTCTGGTTTTATTCTGACCTTAAATAGGAAAAAGAATATGCTCATTTAGGTTTTATGTAGTGTAATTAATAGTAAATGAAAAAGGTGTCATGCATGCAGAAATATATATCCTATTTTATATGTCTTGATTTATAGATAATAGGCAATAGACATATAAAATATCTTTCAATGTTTTGAAATTATAGTTCATTTTTTGTACTTAGATAACTGTTCTAAAAACGTGATGGCGGTGATACCAAATGCATATTCAAAATTCTAAATCGAAGATAAATTTACAGCGCTTGACAAAGCTCTTTATGGGCATCCTTTTGTTGTTGACTTCAAGGCGCCTTTTTTCCAATTTTATATATTCGGGTTGCTGTCTCAAGGACGTTTACCAAACATCTCTCACCCATTTTGGTGTAACCATTACATGGATTTTGTTCTTTATTTATATATGAATTGCAATGCTAAATCTGTATTTAATATAAATATACCTCAGAATGCTGAACATGAAACCGTCTTTTCAAAATACCAAAAGTCCTCTCTATAACGGATCTAGTACTGGCATGGCATCCGTTGAACCTTTGCTGGTGTCTCTCTATTGGATTGGCATATGGAGTAAGCAGGAAAGGGCGACAAGCATATCCACTGTCCCCAAGAATAACACCATCTATCAATCCCCTGTGATTTGTCTGGAGGTAATTAGACAAAGTTGATGTGTTGAATATGTGGGAGTCGTGAGTGGAGCCTGGCCAGTTTGCAAATATATTGGTAAACCTGCCTGTAAATATGAATTCAGTGTTTTTAAAAACAGACAATTGATAAAAAAAATAAAATAGCAGATTTTTTAATTATGCAAGTACAACAACGCACCTGCTAAAAAAGAATTCATCCAAAGTACTACGCAGTTATTCCTCAACAAATTTCGTTTTTTGTAAAAAGGAATCGAATCAATTCAGTTTATTTTCTTATTACATGTCCATTAGTGGCATTTAATTTTTAAAAACAAGAAAATTCGGGTATAGACAAACATATCAATATTCGTTTTAAGACATAACATGTAATAAACATTGCTATTATTATATGATTACAAAAGAGAATTTGAAATTACAAAGAGTAAAAGAAAGAAATGCAAATCACATTATGCCGCTTTGTACCGTGAATTGAAGTTCTTTGTCGTATAAAGCAAAAATACAATGTTGCACAGCGAAAACGTCCCACATGTCGAAAATTCGTTCATGTTTTTACCTTTCTGTGTGGACAAGATGAATAAAATGGAAACCTTTAATCTTTTTCAAATGTTATAAAGACCGGACTCAAGTTAATCGAACCTCCGAAATTTGGGTAGAAACAGAAGGACCTAGTTGTTTATATCGATAGTGTCAAGGTGATTTTATATTAAAGGGAGAGAACAATTTAAGATCAACAACGACGGAATGGCAAAATACAGATTAAAATACCTTCAAAATCACAGACAGCTAGCACATTTATGCTGTGGTACCCCTTTCTGTTGACATAGGATGGTTCATCATCTGATGGTGCCTGTATCCTCACATGCGTGCAGTCAATGCACCCCAAAACATTCGGAAAGTTGCATTGCCTGTAAAACCCACATTTTATCCTATTGATGGAATCTACATCTGTAGGCCAACTCACAAAATCATCCTTAATGTCAATCAGGGCATCTGTCACATCACTAACAACACGAGAAACTGTTCCTTTGTCATACCCCAAAGTATCTCCTATAACTTGCAAGAAGGAGCCGGATGCATAGAAACGCAGTGCAATGCATACTTGCTGTTCAACGGTCAGTGCTGTTGCTTTGTTAGTGGGCCTGTTGAGCGTGTCTTGGAGAAGATTGCAAAGGTATGCAATTGAGTCCTTGCCAAATCTATACCTCCTTCTTAGTTCATCGTCATTTAAATTTGTTAAATGTGAAATAGTTCCCCTAAAAACTCTGTCCTTCCTCTTGGTGGTAGCATCATGAAAGCAGCCATTTTCTAATTATACCTTGGTTAAATGATTTAACGCTGCTACCTACCATCGTTAAATTTCACTCAAGTTAAGAACATTATAACGGAGCGTTAAAACTAACTATGAGATGAACAACAGGATTAACGAGACGTTAAATTTTATCGATACGTTAGCAAAATTTAACGGAGCGTTAGTGCTAACGACAAGTTGAACAGCCGGCCCCACAGGAACAGTCAAACTCATAGATCGAAAACAAACTGACAACGCCATGCCAAAAATAAAAAGACAAACAGACAAATAATAGTACAGATGACATAACATAAAAAACTAAAGACTAAGCAACACGACTAAATTTGTTCGCCCATTTGTTAACACATTTAAAATTTACATAAAATGAAAGCGCGTATTAAAATTTTCAAAACATATTTCATAAAAATATTTGATGAAAGTTATACGAGTATAAAATCTAAAACTAGCTCTTTTCAAACAATAGCTAGTTAAAAGATGCGGAACGAAAGCGATGAAAAAAGGTCACGACCTTCAAAATTTGCGTATTACTGCTCCCGGAAGTGAAGAAATTTAGACAAATCCTCGTATGTTATTCTCTTGTTCAGAAATCCATTTTGTTAAAATAATATAATAAGTATCAAAAAAAGTTACGATCAATTATGCATTTGCATTTTATTATATGGAACGTTTTTGAACTATTTTCCCATAGCTGTTAGTCGGTCATTTTGTCGGGAAATTATATACACTTGGAGGTGCTCCTAGAGAAAGAGCTCATACGTAGACCATATACATAACTGATACCGAAATTGTAAACAATAACGTCCTACGGCTTCACGTGCATAAACCGAAATGCGCTTTAAATTGTATAATATGCAATATAATTCATGTTCAGTCGACCTTTCATTGTTATATCAACGACAGAAATGATTTAAAAACATCTTTAGATTGCAGACAACACTCGAAATTAACCCGACTTCTTTCCACACGGAATTCAAATAACTCTTAGTTTGTCAATCGGTTGACTGCTTATAATGCAAAATACAAATTTATCAAAAGTTTTGAAAACTAACAAAACACACTGATCGTTTCTTTATTTCCGTATGTACAAGAATTGAAACGAAAAACATTTTATATCACAAAAAGAGGATGAAAGAATTCAATATTACCGGATTTTTATTATGGCTAATGACCCCAACGTAGACATGTCGGACATGGCGGAAGGAAAAATTAACCCGACAACCATAAAGGCATTAAAGCACTGCCTTTAAAAAACTAGAGGATTCTGAATATCTGCAAATAGACAAACACAAGAGAAGCGAACATCCTTATTGAATATTTGTAAGGAAAAGGTTTGTATATTGAACTATTAGTTCCGTTTTCCGTTTTTTATCATGGCATAGTAATTTTGTTTTCGATTTATGAGTTTATATATCCCATTTGGTATTTTCTCACTTTTCTTAAGTTTTCTATAATGCATTTACAAATTGTATAACCATACCCCCTGTTTGAAGGTCATTATCTTCTTAAATAAAGATTGTGGTTAGTTAAATAAAAAAACAATTCTTTTCTTGTCTTTATACTCCAATATAACCACTGAAGAAAATTATGTCTTTCTATTTTTAAACTGGTAGTGCGTTTTAATGGTATTTTTTTTTGGTAAAAAGTGCACATTACTTACTGATAGAAGAAAAGAACACATATGCAGTTGTTAGTGGTTAATCATTCGAGTAATTTGATAGCATAGTGACCACTGACCGTTGAAACATTTAATGGACTTTCCACGATATTTTTGTGAAATGATTTTATGGCGTTGATCGACCAATACATATTTGATGTCACACGTAGCTCTTTTAAGTGACTTTTATCAGTAAAATGTTGAATGTTGAATTTTTGCACTTTCTCGATAGCGCTCAATACTGACTGGATAGAAGTTGTGATTTTCATATAGTTCTTTTCAGAAACATTTTTAATGAAAATAGTACCAAGCTAAGGCTGTTGATTCATCAGATTTGGTGAAATTAAATTTAAATGTCGAACATGTATGCATTTCCGGCAAATTTAGATATAGGGCAAATTGCAACGAAGGCGTAAAATGGCATGTTTGTTGTATGTTGCTCTTGCTACCAAGCCATACGGAAATGCATGAACCAAGTCAGGAATATGACAGTTGTTTTCCATTCGTTTGATGTGTTTGAGCTTTTGATTTTGCCTTTTTTAAAAAGTAAAATAACAAAAATACCAAAGAAAATTCAAATCGGAAAGTCACTTATCAAATAGCAAAATCAAAAGCTCAAACGAATGGAAAACAACTGCCATATTCCTGACTTGAAACAGGTATTTTCTTATGTAGAAAATGGTGGATTAAACCTGGTTTTATAGCTAGATAAACCTCTCACTTAGAATATAGAATTCCATTATATCGACAATGATGTGTTAAGGGACTGACTTTTTACACTGTTGTGAAATAAAGGTCGATTTCAATTTTTGTGGACATACAAAAACAATGATAGCACCCGAAAAAAAAAACCAACAACAGTTTTGAAGGGCACACCTAGTAAATATGCAGTGCTATATGAATATACTTATTGCTATTTCTTAATAGAAAGTAATATGTCATCCTATAAAGAGTAATACTCTACATAGAATTAATACGAACTGGTGTACAATATTATTTTGTGTTCACAAAAATAAACTCCTGTCATGTTTCTAAGAAAAAACATTAACAGAAAATTCCCCAAAATCTCACCACTAATTGATTAATTTTGAAGGCTAAAAATATAAACAGACAGAACAAATGTCATACAATATAATTTACACGGAAGTTAAGTTTTATTTTTTGTTGATTCATATTTACCCACAGTAGGTTCAAGGTTATTTTATTTGAGGTAGCAGGTTTTAGATCTCCAATTACATATAGGCATTATACTAAAAAAAAACAAAAATCTTCAGTCCGTTGATTAATTTTTTCCACTTAAATTGCAGAAATATTTTTACCTTAAACCACAATTCTACATCGCACAAAGCTAGAAAGTAAAAAGTGGATATATTTTTTATAATACAAATTTCTAATTTATTCGATGAAGCTTATTATTTTAGCATTATTTCTGAACGTCCTAGTAACTTTGGTGATATGAAAAAGGAATTGATCAGATATAATTAGTCTACTTTAACATTTAGGCGAACGCCCTTTTATGATTATTTTTAAGGAAAACTGGTTTGTATATTGTAATATTACTTCCTAATTTTTCTATAATGCATTTACAAATTTTATAACCATGATATATCATCTGTTTGAAGATCTTTATCTTCTCTAAAAGATTGCTGTCGAAATATACATTTATTCGGGTAGCTAAAATCAAAAACAACGTGCTTTTAAGAAAATTCTATTTTCATCTTTGTCTTTATATTCCAACATAACCACGAAAGAAACATATCTATTTCTATTTAGGTAATCAGTTTTGTAAAATAAATGCACGTGGCTTACTTATAGAAGAAAACAACATATAGGCAGTTGTTATTGTTAATCATTCGAATAATTTGATATCTTAGTCACCACTGATCAACTTAAAAATAACAGTTACGGAAAATAAGGTACTTAAGGGATTATATATATAGACAAAAGAATATATTGAAAACCTAATAAAATAAAAATTATGTATAAGATACGCCTCAATGGCGTAACTAATTTACACCAAGATATTATTGTCAATGCAGACTGACAGTTTTCAATAATGTAGGAGGGGGATCTTTTAGCCATTTGATTAAATGTTATTGAAAAGCATAATAAATGCAGGGTATCCGATTTCATTTCACGACATCTTGGTGTAAAAGAGTTTATAAAACATAACAAATATAAAAACACGTACATAATATATGAAAATTCTTATTATAATCATAGTTAGGCGCTAAAATAATACACGGTAATAGATTTCATGAAATCAAACGGAAATAGCAACTGATGAGCTGATGAGGAAAACAGCTTAATTAATCAACCAACAAAAGGAATAATGCCATCCATATTAGAAAAGTTTGTGATGGCTAAGTTGCCTACGTCTGTATTTTAGTATATTCAAGTATCAATATTTCTATCTTGTATTAATGTAGTTCTGTATTCAAACGGACTATATATAGACTGTTATTTTCAGATTTTTTTAGTTGAAGCTCTTTTGGAGAAATGCATTTAGTCTATTTAATAATATTTTGTTAATAAATATTTTGAAGGCACACCTAGTAAATATGCACATGTTTCTAAGAAAACAAATTTGCAGAAAATTCATAAAAAAGCCACCTTTAATAGGTTAATTTTAAAGGCTAGAAAATCAGAATAATAAGTAAACATGTCATACAATATAATCGACACGGATATTTGAGGTATCAGGTTTTAGATCTCAATTACATTTAAGTACTATAATAACAACCACAAAAATCTTCAATCTGTTGGTACATCGTTTCCAATTAAACATTTTGAATTACAGAAATATTGTCATCTTAAACCACAAACCTATTTGACACAGAATTAGAAAGTATAAAGTATATAATACAAATTTCTAATTTATTCGATTAAGTTAATTGTCATACAATTATTTCTGAAAGTCCTGGTAATTTTAGTATTAACAAAAACAAAGAAGAAGAATAGATTATATATAATTAACATACTTGACCATGAGGGTCGGTTGAAAACAAAACTTTACGACAAAAGAAATGATTTCAGCTTCCCAATTGTGAACTTTCCATTTCTACGTAGCAACATTCCAGATGATATCGGATATGTTCCTTATGTCGTAACTACAATACCCTTCCCTTTTCACGAATTTAACTTACCGAATTGTTACCAAGATATTATTGTCAATGCAGAATGACAGTTTTCAATAATTGAGGAGGAGATCTTTTAGCGATTTGATTAAATGTTATTGAAAAGCACGATAAATGCAGGGTATCCAATTTCATTTCACGACATCTTGGTGTAAAAGAGTTTATAAAAGAACATATATAAAAACACATACATGATATATGAAAATTCTTATTATAATCATAGTTAGGGGCTAAAATAATACACGGTAA